CTATACTTGAAAAATACAAGGAGAACCAATGTTGAAGTTAGTGACTTCCTGACGATCGAAGAGTCTTTGCTCGAAACGTCGAAGTTCTCCATTTTTCAGTTTGTTGCATCCCATTCTCAGCGTTTTAACATACCTTGGATCATAAAGCTTTTAACAGACCTGTGTATCATTGATCCCTTGTATCCATAGCCAAACTAAAAAAGACCGGAATAATTTACGCATTTTACTTACATCCATCCCAGACTTTCAATGACCAAAGTCAGCTAAACCCCCAACTCATCAAGTCATCTATATTCCGTAGCAAGTTTGAGATACAAGGTTCATTGTAAACTGAACACACTTTATGCGCCTTCGAACAATACACTATAAGCTAAGTGAATTTCGGTGAACTGGAAAGATATTCAGGGCCGCTGGTTCGATTCCTGCTAGAAGACCTATAGTGTTGCATTTTTCGCAACTGTTCGCTATTTCGGGGAAGAAATATAAGCCAATCAACAGACGTTCAACTCTTGCCATAAAATGGGCGCTAAATTTTGGATGACGAGTTTTGGCATTTGTCACTTGAAGACAGTGAATGTTTTGATAGAAGTAAGAAAGTTACTGGTTCCAACTTCGGACTGTCCTGTTAAGGTTTAATTTTTATAGACTGTTCGCAGGGTAGGTTTTAATTCAAAATAAAGCAATCCGAGGCAGCAATTCCTAATTACAAAGTTATCATTTTGCAATATGTGGTCTCAATTATTTGAAAGATATTTTGTATCCTTCACCGTTATTAGTACTTTCACATTAGAGAACTTGAGGAAGCGACGTTTCGGCCAACACGGACGTTAGATTGCCGAAGGGGGCAGAGGCGCCGTGGCCAGGGGGGCCATGCCCTCCCCCCCTATTTTTGAGACCCGTCGGAAAATTATCAATGTTGTCGGAAATTGTCAAAGTTGTCGACGGGGGGGGGGGGGGGGGGGGAGGGGCTAAAAGATTTAAAGTGTTGTCGTCCGGAAAAAGTTTTGGTTTGCCGGAAAAAATTTTCGGTTTGTCGGAAAAGTACTGCCTTTGGCCCCCCAAAAAACATGGGTCCCACGGCACCACTGGAAGGGGGGCTGGATTAAAAATTGTGTTTGTATCAGTTTGTGGTAATCTCAACACATATGAGAAAACATAAGATTTTTAAAACTTTTTGCTTCGTTACACGAACGCCATGATGCATAATTAGCATGATGCAAAATTAGTTATGCCAACCGTGACATCCTTGTTGACAAAAACGTCGCTTGTTTAAACACGCATCAGATATATTTACGATTTTGTGCGACGTTCAGTCGCTTCAAAACAAACACCAAGTAAAAGTTACCACAAAGTATAAGGACAAAATAGAATAGAATCATTCTTCAACGCCGCAAACTGGACTCCTGTCATTCATCTTACCTCATGGTCGCTCAAAGAAACAAAATTTGTAACAGTTTTTGGAGCTGTGTTTCCGAACAATCCAAATATAATCCGACCAGCAGGTTTATTTCCTATTGAGATATCAAGAAATACTTTCCTTGTTACCAATGTTGTATGAGGTCGTTGTCCGGCTTGGGCAGGCCCGAGGCAACGTCTTGAAACTAGGAAGAGTAATATCCATAATTTTAAATGAATGACTCTTGTCATTTTAAAAAGTTATTACATATCTAGACAGACTAGAGTTTATATTTACAATACTTTTAAAGGAATCTGGTACCAGGCTGTAACACAATGGATTTTTGAGCTGCAGTTGCGGGTAGCAAAAATTTGCATTTTTTTCCCAAGGGAAGCGAAACATTGTTCGAGTTAGCGGAGGTTCGAGTTCATGAGGTCGGTGTTGGATTTCGTTTAGTATGTTAATCATTAAGGAGGTATAGTCGTTCTATTATTCATATCAATTGTGAGTATAGATATCTTATATACACTAGATAGTGCATCTAATTATTTTGCAATTCAAAAATTGAAGCCGTGATTGCAGTCTCAGGTCGTTCTCATGAAATGAGAAGATTCGTATGTTTTCTATTTCTTAAACAAGGAACTTAAACATTAAGTTAACCCTATTCCAAATACGTTTTTAAACTATTCAAATGATGAAAGTTATTGTTTTTAAGCGTTTATTAGCAAGTGGGAACGACCAACATGGCCGCCATCTATTCAAATGGGGGTAACCACTGGAATATTCTTGACTTCAATTTTACTAAAAGAAATGCGCTATCTAGTGTATATAAGATATCTATGATTGTGAGCCAGTACGGAGCACTCTATAAAGAGCTTACAAAGTTTGCACTACTCTTACCTAAATGGTCCCTTTTATATAATACCTTATTGAATTCTGATCGTTTAATTGGCTGTTTATGGTCACGTGATATTGAATAGAAAATTCCATTTCCCAAGAGTGCAATGGAATACGTTCCATTGCACTCTTTGCGAGTGCAATTGTACTATACGTTTTATTCCATTGCACTCTTTGTGTTTTCGATAAATCGCATCTGTCAAAACGCTTCTCATACGAACCTGTTAGTCTATTTTGGTATGATATAAACATAGGATATAAAACAAATAATGAATGTGAAAGATGGTGAAAGATGGAATGATTCGGTGAAAGATGGAATGTTCCATTCAACTCGGCTGTCGCCTCGTTGAATGGAACATTCCATCTTTCACCTCATGAAAATATTCTTATTTCAATAGAAAATATTCTTTTTTCAATAGAAAATATTGCACTCATAAACATTCATTATTTGTATATCACAGTGTTTAACAGTACAGTACCTATACCAACAGTACCTTGCAATTTTCTTCTTCTGAAGGATGCGAACGAGTGGATGAATTCTGAATGTTCACGCAGACTCTACTTCAAAATTGGGCAACTTGCAGGCCTGCCCGTTGAGATATTAATGTTTAGTCGGAGAAACTGAATGACAGATCGAAATTGGTTCAATTAAATGCATATTACACAGAGTGGAGTGAGGAGTCTTCGACGTATCATGAAGAATGAAATCCCAGAAATAATCTAAATAGTTCAATATTTTTTTATTCATCGTTTTAAGAAAAGAGGATATGTGCTTCTTCTATTCATAGAAGATCTGTGAAAAAACCCATGATAATTATCATGGGTTTAATCACAGAAGCACAGGGTGGGGAGACGGCAAAAACGTTGATGGAAATTGCCGGACATTATATATTTTGTATTTTTGCACAAGTGAACATAACAAATCCTACACGTTGATTGGTCAAATTTGACGTATTAAGGTGGCTCGATACAGTTTTCAAAAATTCAGGTGTTTAACACTTTGACATGTTCAAACTACGCATTTTTAGGATTTATTGAGCAGATATTGGGTTTCTTATATATTTTCATAACTCTACTTTCAAATTATATTAGTTTTAGTAATAGATAGTTCGTTGCTATGACGACATACGTGTACAAAATTCACTCCAAAATGGTCTAACGTCTCGTATAGCTGGAAAAAAAGCACGGTGACCCCCAATTTTTTTCCGTGCATTATTTTACTTGGACGGAAAGCCACCAATTAGCAAAATGTAAAAAAATTCTATAATGCCATTTTTTTGGAAAATGCGAAAATGACATATTCTTCGGTAAATTTTTTTTGGCATTACAGAATTTTTTAATTTTTTGTATAATGAAAGTTTTTAGCGGTGCAATACAGCATGCAAAATTTGAACATAGGTCACCGGACAAAATAAAGAGATATAGCGCATTGTTTTTCTAAAATGGAAAATTCTAATGACGTCAGCAATTGACATAAAACGCTATAGAACACGCGCAATGGCGTGATATGGCGCGAGCAACTGCTCACGTCAGGTCATTTGGGAAGTTCTTTCATTTTGTTAATCAGTTTCCGCGACCTGCGCGTAAAATTGGTCACCCGGTTTTGAGTTCGTGATTCTTGGGCAGGGTTTTCGTGATAACTATATCGAGCCACCTTAAGCTGTTAGGCCTGGTTTATACAGCGTGCTATGAGCGAACCGAACCAATTTTTAAATTAGCACGGCGAAGCACGGTATTAGCACGCATTTTGATTTATACGTAACGTATCTGAGCCAATTTTTAAAGTTGAGATAAAGCCAGTATGGGCGTAAAAGGAGCGTAACATTAATACAATATGGCGTCTCATATTGTTGCAGTATGGTTCGCTGATGGCACTGTGGTTTAAATCAAGGGCGTGCTTAACCGTGCTACGAGCGTTCGGCACGCCTTCGACGAGCGAGCCGCACGGTCAGGAGCGAACCTAATTCAGAGAGTGAACCAATTTGATTTAGACAGCGTGCTATGAGCGAACTTATTAGTTAAGTAATTGGTTCGGTGCGCTCATAGCACGCTGTATAAACCAGGCCTTATATTCACCTACAGGTGAATATAACAAAACCAAAATTTTCAAAATGGCGGCTAGCTGTTTTGTGAAAGTTACTGATAAAAAATAAGCGAAATTAAAATATATATTCAGTCCCCAAAACCCTTGTGTAAAAATACTAAAACAATTATTCGCCTCAGACTCGGTGATTATCGGGGAATATTCACCGCTGATTGATTGTTCTATTGTAATAATTATACTAAAACCAACGTCGTTCATATATGCATGGACGTGCCAAGCGATACCTGGTTGGGGGGGGGGGGGGAAA